GCCCACAAATTTTCTACAGGATTGAGATCAGGGCTTTGTGATGGCCACTCCAAAACATTTGTTGTCCTGAAGCCACTTTGTAACTAATCTGGCAGGATGCTTCTGGTCATTGTCCATTTGAAGACCCATTTGTGCTCAAGCTTTAACTTCCTGGCTGATGTCTTGAGATGTTGCTTCAATATTTCCACATAATGTTCTTTCCTCATGATGCCATCTATTTTGTGAAGTTCACCAGTCCTTCGTGCAGCAAAACAGCCCCACAACATGATGCTGCCGCCCCCGTACTTCATAGTTGGGATGGTGTTCTCAGGCTTACAAGCTTCCCGCTTTTTTTCTCAAAATGTAATGATGGTCATTATGGCCAAACTGTTCAAAATTAGTTTCCTTAGACCACAGGACTTTGTCCCTGTGTGTATTTGCAAACTGCAATCTGGCTTTTTTATGTTGCTTCTGGAGTAATGTCTTCTTCCTCTCTGAGTATCCTTCCAGCCCATGTCGGTACAGGACTGGTTTCACTGTGGATAATGACTCTCTTACCAGCTTCAGCAGCATCTTCACAAGGTCTTTAGCTTTTGTTCTGGGGTTGATACGCACATTTTGCACCAAAACCCTTCATGTCTGGGACACAGAACCTGTCTCCTTCCTGAGCAGTGTGATGGCTGGACATTCCCATGGTGTTTGCATATAATTGTTTGAACAGATGAACGTGGAACCTTAAGGGATCTGGAAATTGTACCCAAAGATGAACCAGACTTGTGGAGGTCCACAACTCTCTTCCTGATATCTTGACTGATTTCTTTAGATTTTCTCATGTTGTCACAAAAAGAAGCAGTGTGTTGGAGGTGTGTCTTAAAATACAGTCACAGGTGTGTCTCCAATAAACTCAAATGTTGTCAGTTAACCTATCAAAAGCTTCCAAAGCCATGACATCATCATCTGGGCTTTCCCAAATAGTTTGAAGTCATAGTTATCTTAGTCTATGTAAACTTGTTAATTTTGAAGAAAGTAATACAAATCTCCAAAAAAAAAATCTCCTTCTGGCATTTAGCAAATAGAAATAATTTTGGTGATCCTAACTGGCCTAAAACAGGAAAAGTTTAGCCTGATTTAATGCCAGACAGTGAGAAAAAAAGGTTAAATGTCCTGTTTTATACAGTGTGTGTAAACTTCTGGTTTCAACTGTGATTACTCAATTTAAAAGCCCATCAAAAGGAGCTTAAAACAAGATTCAAAGGGAAGGTGAAGCTTTTAATTACCACACCTAATCAAAATCTAAAGGATATATCTGCCAGAATACAATATTAAGTTATAAACCATTCTTATACACATGTACAGAGAACAGAAAAAGAACAGAAATATAAAATAAAACCCATTAAATATGTGTCATTTCTGGTCAACCCCCTGAACCACAACACCTGCTGAGAGGTTTAAAAGGCATATTATCTTTATTTAAAAATCACTAAAATAATGGCCTTTTTAGAGCCAGAAACAAAACAAATCATTGGACATTCACTCTCTGATGGTCCTCCAGCTACACATTGGTGAAGTGCCATTCATTAGGAAAACCTGACAAAATCTAAGCTTCAAACTGTGATATTTAATCAAAATCTCTATTCTACATTATTAGTTGCAGAAAAGCAGTTCAATCTTTAATCACTTTTGGTAAAAAAAATAAATAAATAAATAAACAAATAACAATAAATCTGTGCTCCCAGGCGCAAAGGAATTGGTGGCTCTGCTCAGTGTTGCGAGACAAAAACTCAGGGAGCTTTCCTGAAATGCGTTAAACTGCAGGCTGTACATATACACGTCAGTGAATGCTACGTTAGCTATAGAATTTATAAAGTGGCCAGGCTTTCACAGTGTTGGTAACACCTTGGAAGCACTTGGAAAAGGTTAGGCATGCTCAGTCCAGGTTTTTCAATTTTGTGAAATAGACAATCAAAGAAATTCAACTTTCCTTTTTTAAAACGTTGTATGATTTATGGCATCAGTGTTTTGTGAAGCTGCATAAAAGCCATGTTTCAGGTCTAGTTGTCTAGTCTAGATGCAGGACTTCCCTCCTAAAGGAACAATGAATGCACAGAAGCTGCTTGGGCTCAGAGGGTCAAACTCTGACCTTCAAGATTAATCTGTTTGGACAACAGTCACAGATTAATATATCAGAAAATGTATGCCGATACATGAGAAAAGGAGGGCATTAATAACTGAACAGATGTGCGTTCAGGTTGGCTGGGCTTTGACGCAGTGCCAGAAGGAAAATAAAGACGATGTGGGGGAAAAAAAATGGATAAAAAAAAGGCTGCAGAGGGAGAAAGAGAGACCTACAGGTGTGTCAAAGTGATCCGAAGACACATAAAGACTCTCAATGTTGATGACAAATGTCACACATGTGAATGTACACATGAGGAGGAAGAAACTTCTTCCAGCACAGAGCTTTAAATGTAGATACAGATAGTGTACAGTGACCTGGATAAAAGTCATCACCCAGATTTAGATTTTATATTCAAGCCTGCTTGACTTTGACCTACATGAAGCAGTTACATGAAATCTATTGATTGCAGCCGTACGCTGATCTTATCCGCTTAGAGCAAACAAGGTCTAGAACATTATAAAACATGTATGTGAACGTATAAATATTAGGATTAAGATCTTTATATAGGAACCAAACCAACATAATTCAACATATACAACTATTGCAGCTGACAATTAGTGTATTAAATATGTACATTCACATGATCTTCTGGATTTCTGTGGCGTAAATCATGTCCATTCTGGGATTTGACTTCTGCTTATTCTTCGTCGCAATCTCTTCAAATCTCTGACAGTATATAATCAATGGGGTTGACATACTTTGTATTGCACTCATCTTAAAACCATGTATGGAGTTTTAATTCCAGGAAAAATAGAAGGTTATCATCTGGCATAAGCATCAACATGTTTAAATATACCACCGCATACATAAACATGCTCTAAATCTTGCAATAATACCTAGAGATACAAGACGGAAATATGCCACAAACTCATTTTCATATGAATCGCTTCGTAGCGTTTTATAATAGCATCAATTCTATATTTATTCACCGCTCTGACATGCACTGCCATAATTAATCATACTCAAATTCAATGACAGATTATCTTCCATACAGTAAAAAGCTTACGTTTGCTTCTTTTCCGGCAAAGTCAGAGGTCAAATCTGTGCATCGCGTGGTTTTTCATCTAGTTTCAGGAGCGTACACGTCGGAGCTTTAAAATCCGCGCGAATATTTTGCAGGAACATTTGTGTGAAGTCTGTCAGGAATCAAGGCTCAACCACTCATACAGTCAGTTCTCCTTTAATTTGTCTATTAATTCCAAGTTTGAAATGTTTAACCTTGGAAAATGATGTTCTGATGAAAGACAGATGGCATAAAGAAAGACGCTCGGCAGCAAAGGTGAGAGATATAGAAAAGAGAACACATCAATGCCGCCTTTTCAAAAACACAGATTTTTGTGCGGCTAAAAGGAAAGCTTACTGTAACACTTTGTAAAAAGCTCACATTTGCGGGGTATTAACATGAAAGCGACAATAATTACATGTAGTAGTGTTTTCTGTCTGACATATACGTTTACCTGGAGAAGAAGTTGGAGGTTAGAACCTTTCGGTATGTTTACGACTTCGCTCTGGAGCGTTTCCGAGAAATCAAAGCAACTTTCCGACGACAACGGTGACACGGGAAACGAACGCGCATACATCGCTGGGTTCTTATGGCAGGAAACCGAACCGAAAAACATTCCACTCATACATCCAAGTGAACCAGAAGAAAACAAATACCCATGAGACCTCACATCCGAACACAGCCCAGACAGTTCACATCTGACACCGCGTATCACGATCAACAAGAATCCATACGGCGAAGCGGAGGCACACTTGTAGTTGTTTCCTTTTGATCCGACTCAAACGAGAAGTGTAATCTCCTGAAAATGAAACGACCACCATTCCACAACATCCCATATGATGCCTGCCGAAACACTGAAACAAAACCAAAAATCTAACATACCGAGAAAATTACTGCAATAACATGACAAAACCTAGAAAAGAAAATATATTGACATTTTCAATGGGATGCTAAAAGAAGAACAACTCGAGGGAGTTGCTGTGCAACATCATGTTCATACATTTAAATATAATAAGCAGAACTGGAAGATACTTGCAGCAGTGCTTTAGTAATCATTTTAATAACCTACTTTGGCTCTTTCTGCAGCTGATCTTTATAACTGGTGCTGCAGCGCACATGTAATCACCTGAGTTTGCAGCGCTGTGAGGTAATGCTACCAGTGCGAACGTCGCATTTGCATAGAGATATGTACTATAAAGATAATGTAAAGCTACATTAAACAGCTGTAATTGCCTCTTATTACTTCATCAAACTCCAATTGTAAAAAAAAAAAAAAAGGCTGCTTGGAAAAAAAAATCCCACTCATTTGACTTATATTTGAGGGCAATTATGTTGTAATTATGTCATCCATCACATCATTAACCTGTTGCTCTTTGAAATCATTGCACAAGTTGCTTGTTGTGTGTGGTTTAGCCCTGAGAGTCAACTGTGGGCGAAATAAAGCCGTGTTTTGCTTTGGGCGTCTGCTTTGTGGACATTTCGTGGACCGTCAGCAAAAGCATGAATTTTGTGCCTCTTGCTGCGTCCCCATGAAAGCTGTGGAGAGACTCACAGTGACTGCAGAGTGCTGCACACAGACACAAGGAAACGCAGATTATATTAAAACAGCGTCATTCTTTAAATATCAGTTCTAATAAAATGGGGAATAAAGCTTGGGGTGTTGCAGTATCTGTGCACTGCACAAAACTGCATCCATGTGGAGATGAACTGTATGCCTTCTTAGAGTTTCAGATGTACATCCGTGTGCACACACATATACAGCCTTTTCGTGTCATCGGGACAACAACATATAACGCTCCAGGTAGCAGCAGCAGCCTATAAGGGGTCCACATCCTGCCTTACCTCTCTTTGAGGAAGTCCACCACTCGTTTGAAGTCATCGATGCAATACTCTCTCTTCATGTCCATCAGCACGCTGTCTGAGGCCGACTGCACAGGGACGTGAAGGAAGGCGTAGACTCGCGGATGATTCAAAATCTTTGCCATTTCCTGTTGAGACACAGAAGGAGGAGAGGGTTAGTGTTTCACATGGAAGTCCAAACTGCTGTTTTTCTTCTATGTCCTCAACATGACTGTGAAATGATTGAGAAAAAAGCCTAATTCAAACCTAAATGAGGTTGCGTTTAAATCAAATTCCGTGTAAAAACCTGGAACATGTTTAAACATATGCTGCAGCAGCACCGCAGCACTTCTGGCCTATTGACACAAATTAAAATATTTATTATTGTAAGTGCAAAAATTTGCAATCAACCTTCCCACTATAGCGGACAAACCCAGGACAAAACATTCCTAACGTGTGCCGTCCACGAGTCAATAATTTGAAGCGAAAATATTTAACCTCTACAATTATTTTTATTTGAGTGCAAGTTTTAGTCAATTGAAACACACTAAAGGTGATAGAAGCGAAAGCCCGCTGACGGTGAATGATAGCTGCTACCTTTGAATAAAACGAAGGTTCCATCAACATTCCTGCCTCTTTCTGACTCCTTTCACTCCAGACCTTCTACAATAAACCGCTGCTTTCTCCCATTTATTTATTTATTTATTTTCATTTCTCCTTTTTATACTGGGAAAATAAAAGAAAAAGCGGCTCGGAGAATTCAGCGCGTAGACGCAATAGATCTTAAGTTCAAGGAGTCAAGGTTGCTCCAGTAGGGGCCCTTTATATCTGAAAAGTCAAGAGCTTTTACTAAAGCATGCAGGTCCCCGTTTCAGATGAAAATGGCGAGAGGGGGGAAAAGAAAAACGTGTAAGTCTATAATTAACTCAGTGAGGGTCACTTTGTACCTTTCTGTTTCTACTATAAGAGTTATAAAAAATACTTGGGGTGCTGTACCTTCTGGTTTTCTACAATATGAAAAGCAGCTTTTAAGTATAGTGTTTTAAAATTGCTTAAATGTGAAGAGAAAAAAAAAGAGACAGGAGGTTTTGTTCAAGAATCTTCTTTTGATGTTAATTAAGACTCTATAGCTCAAATAAAGAGGCTAAATTCTGGATTAACTGCAAAATGGCATAAATTATACTATAATGAGACATTTGGATAAAATTATTATAGTTGTAAAAGTGAATTTTCCAGTTGTAACACAAGACCGTGTATCTTTAATGTCCCATCCTTTACACTTTTAGCATGAAAACTGCATTTTAACAGCCTCGATTAATTAGCAAGAGAGCTGGCAAGTTGTGTTTTTTCTTTTTTTCTGTTTTTCTTTCATTCTCACTTTAATTTCCTCAGTAAACGAAGTGGAGAGAGCGCAGATGTCAGATTTTTCTGATGGACATAATCAGGATGCGATCATCACCACGCTAATCACCACAAGAAGGAGAAAAAGAAAAAGAGAGGGGAGGAAGAAATGATTTAATGATTTCCTACAAGAATGTGCTGATTGCAGTCCGTCTTCTCAATTAGGATCCATTGTAGAACGTTCTCTGCTTCGTACGCAGACACTGAAGCATGTGCGAACACGGGCGAACACGCGCGCACAGACACAGCTCGGTTGCAGCACCACGGGGGGTTGACCGCTGGAAGCTCCAAATTAGAAAGAATTAATTTGGTTGGAAAATGGAGTTTGATTGGTGACAGAAATCAGGCTGCTGCTATATGTGTGTGTGTGTGTGTGTGTGTGTGTGAGAGAGAGACAGAAAAACATATAAAGGAAAGTGAATTTATGTGCTATTGAATGTTTTTTTAAAGGTGAATGAATAGTAGGTCGATGCAATAATCATACTTTGCTTTATTCATGCAGAGGATTTATTGAGGACACTTTATATTTCTGATTTGAAGGTCTTGGAAATTAAGGAACCGAGAGCGGCGATGGAGGGACATTTGATAACACAATAAAAACACAAACAAACTATGCATTCATAAAATAATATAATCACTAAACATCTTTTGCATTACATGAGCACTGCTAAATCCACACATTGTTTTTTTATTTTTCTTTATGTGCCTTTGAAAATTGCGTCCTTTTTACTCTTAATGTATAAATCAGAAAGAAAGGGCAACATTTCAACTTCCCAATGTTTCTTCTAAGTGAAAACTGATTTTTTTTCGGTGTCTGATATGAAAAATGACTAATAAACAGTTTGCACCAGATTGATTTAAACAAACAAACAAAAAAGAAATCAGTGTTCTTTGGTGAAAATACGAAGACGTGATTCACTCAACTGCAACCAACAATTGTTGTGTATAAATATATATATATGCACATAGTCATGAAATGTCTTCTTTAGAAGAAGTTGCTTGGGTCTGTTTCTTTTATGGTTTCACAGGACAAGCCACAGACGGAGGAAAAGAAGTCCATATAAGGATGCAACTATTCAGTGTGATGAAGATGGGCCCCAATCAGTTGTTTTACGACCTGAACAGGCATCACGTGACTTCGTAGTAAAAAGAAGGGTCAGAGGCAACAGGAGTAGTCTTACTTTGTCTGATGCCAGGGAGAGTTTGACCCAGAGCTCTGTAATGCAATATTCAATGTGTAATTAAATTGATTGATTGAGACCGAATTGAATCCGATCTCATCTTTAGAAACGAACATGCGGAGAAGACAGTCATTCTCTAACACAAGCAAGTGAGAATCATTTAGGAACTACTTGGCTGAACTGCAGGCTGTGTTCACACAGAGCAGACAGTAAACAAGTATGGAAACAAATTTAAAATGTAAGTAGAAAATAAGTATTGTGTGTACTTTAACACCTGAGGGCACTTGGAAAAAATGTTGACTACAGGTTTTCTCAATTTTTGTAACATAATTGAAATTCATCTTAGGACATAACTAACCTGTTGTACTACACAACACACATATATGAGTTCTCTCGACTACTCTGCTATGGAGGTGCAGGATTGTATATTGTAGTTAAAAAAAAAAGAATTCACGTGACAGGAGCACAAACGGGCCAGCTTGAGGTTCAAGTGAGGGTTAAGTGAGAACAAAAAATATTTAAGTTTGCACTTGGCTTTTATGACACAGTTTATATTTGATCCCGATCCACAGAACTGACCTGTAAAGTCTGATCGATGAAAGCTTTGACGTTCAGATCAAAACAAGGACATATGAACACAGTCTTTTTATAGCGTGTTGAATAACACAGCTTTCTAGTTTTACACGATTAAGATTTGTTAAAGTGTGTCTGTATATGACACACAAAGCACAATGCGATAACATTATAGCCTTGTAGTGTGTTTTTTTAGCGCGTCCTTTGTGTGGTATTGTGTAATCTATAGTAATACGTCACTCCAGTGTCATTAGATCCACTGACAGTGATGGTGAAGGTACACAAGTGCATGTTGCAGGGTCGGATGGGCTCTCAGCAGATGGCATGCTGGTTTGAGTAGCGGGGCGCTCCTGATTACAGCTGGGGATTAACCTATAAGGGGAGGACTTTTCACTCACACAAGCCATTTATCATGTGTGTGTGTGCTTCTGTCTAACACCGTCCAGTCATTACACACTGATATGGATCTCTAGTTACAGATCCCTGCGGAGATGAGGCTTGTTTTACTGCCACTGACAGTTTGAAATTAAAGCTCAAAGCACAACTCAACGAGCTTTAAACACACCGATCCAGGGGAGATGCGTGCGTTTTCATTTTATTCCCATTTATTTTTTGTTTAAATCAGTTTTTAAAGCAAACTTGTTTTTGCTCTCTGTGCTCTTTTTCATTTTCACCATCTTTTTTTTCCTCCACCGAGTCTCATTCACACAAACAGACGCGCAATCTTTTCATCTTCGGCTGATCGGCTCAAACAGACACACAAACCAGAAAGGATCTATCTTAACTGGATTAGCTCAAAGGATCTGATATCTCTCCCCTTAAATCAGATAGCCCTGAAAAGACAACATAAGAAGAAGAAGAAGAAAAAAAAGAGAAAAATAGGAGATGAAAGATGATTTGGCTCCAAGCAGCCTACACCCTTTCACACTGCCTTCCCACTTCCCTCTCTGCAACGACAAAAAAAAAAAAAAAAAGTGTCTTCACTGTGAGCTTGGTGCTGTAAATTCCTTTGGAATATTCGGTAGCCTTCTGCTCTCTTCATCAGTCCCTCCCTCCTCTCTTTAAGTATTTGGAGGGAAAAAACATGTGATTTCTGCGCGTGTTTCATCACATACCCGTACGTGTTGCAGGTTGAAAACTGTGGGTGAAAAAACGTGTTTCTGACAGGCTTTCCCCTGAAGAGGCTGCAGAAAGTCAACATCGATTTGGATCAAGTCGTCTTTGCTAGTGCTGCTTAGAAGTCCAAAAAGTTAATAATTAGAAATGTTACACAAACCACATTGAAAGAAAATCCTAAATATGAAATCCAAGACTAGTCACATACACAGTCAAGTGCAGTTCAGTTGGATTTTTATTTTTCTTTCCAGGCCTGAACTCATGTTCTGATCTAAACAGATAGAAAATGAAATAATCGAGAAAAGTGGTGAAACAGGGCAGGAAGGACAGTCTGTCTGGGCCTGTTTAAAACTGTATGCATTAGTTATACAACATTATATGTCTCATGTTTAAAAAAGCTCTGGTTCTGGAGTGTGTCATGGTTGCCTGTGTGCTACATGTGCGAGAGGTAGCCGTCACAAATCAGGAAATCATGAGACCCCGCGCTACCAACATTTACCCCTTTTCCACCAAACTGGTTCCAGTGCTGGTTCCATGCTGGTGCCTGACTTAGCAACAGTAGTACTTGTGCTTCCACCGCCTAAGCACTGGCTCCAGGTCCTCAAAACTGGTGCTTTTCAGGCACCAACTCTTTGCTGGGCCAGAGCTAAGCACAGCGTACGTCAGGGGCTGGGGGGGCGAGGCTATCGTGACCACCGAGATGGATGAATGGGACACACAAGCGGTGATTTGTGTTGCCAGGACATCCCTGGTTCGATCACGGATGTATTGGAATGACTCCAGGGAAGTTTTGCACAAACTGTTGAGCACTGAAATCCAGTACAACTGTGTCCCACCAGCAGCACCACAGTGGTGGAAAACTTCAGGTGTATTGCCGT